TGGATGAAAGACCCATCCTAATTTTTCCACTCCTCATTTTAAACTTTCCCCCCATTCCTGACGTGTACAGCTCAATAAATAAAACTACTTTTCTCACCAAATAAAACGAACAAACAAACAAAAATCAACAATGTCTCATGCTACATGCAGTTAGTTTGAAAACCTAGAAGGACAAAATAACAACAAAGTCACCAATATGGCGTTTTTAAAAAATGTCTTGTTTCTCTATTCGTTTTCTTTCATCCAAGCACAGTGGTTAAATTTCAAGTATTGAGAAAATATTGTGTGTACGTGAGAGAGATGAAGCTCAGTTATTCTCCTTCTTCCTTCCTTCCTTCCTTCCTTCCTTCCTTCCTTCCTTCCTTCCTTCTTTCCTTCCTTCTCTCTTGAATGACGTGAATAGCTAAGATGCATTCAAGTCACTAAGGATAGCAGGAAAGTTAGGACTGAGTAGACCAAGTGGTTTAACAAAGCGGGGAAGATAAATAGGAAATTTACAGTCTCAAAAGCAAAAACTGGCAACTCGACAAGTAGGAAAGACTATTTTAAACGTTTCTCTTGCAACAGGCATGGCGTCTGTGTCCCAGAGCAGCAAGAACAGAAATGTCTTAAAAGTTTAGATTATCCAATGAACCCCTTCTGTGGAAGAAAATAGCTGAAATAATGCAAAAGCGTGACCTGCTTTGATCAAGGAGAAAACGTGACATGCATTTTTCAAAGACCGGACGCCTTGATTGGACTTTTGCTAAATGAAGAAAAAAAGTGACATGATGATTTATGGATTTGATGATTGGAAAAAAAAATCTCGTATTCAACAAAGTAGAGGTGGAAGAGCCAGAAAAACATGCCCCCAAGACAAAAAGTATCGACAATGCTGGTTGCACACAAACCTAACAACGCGCTCAGCCCAACGATCTTGAACGACCTAAAAGAAGATTAGGACATTATTATTTTACCGGCTCAACGGTGGTGATGAACAGCACAGATTATGAAATGTGGGCATTCGTCCTCCTGAATGATTCCTCAGCATATGGACTAGCAAACAATCAGAGGCGAGAACGATGGTCACACAACTGAATGCTTATTTCAGCCACTTCAAACAAAACAAGTGTATAAAGGGGGAAAAAATGTTGGAAAAGGAGGGTCAGAGATGCTGCCTGCCCCAACAAGATTTGATGGACTCTCCAAGATACACAAATTTGGAGTCTCTTTCAGAACTATGGTAGTGTTACAAGACGCCCCTACCTACAACTTGACTAAATGGTTCCACCGTCACGTCATCCACACAATTTCTGACAAAAATTACAAGGCTTAAAATGGGGCTCCTGTTGAGATTACGGTCTCTTTTTCATGTCGCATCCCTAGTTACGTCCATCCAATCTAGCATGTTGAAAGTAATAGATAGAAAAACAAGGAGAACCTACCACACAGGTCAGAGCAACCTAACCAGGACACAAGTCATGATTTGTACTCCAATACTGCCAACATACGAACTTCACGTTCAAAGGGGAAATGTGTGAGCAAATAACATCAGGAGTCATTGCAGAAGCTGTCCTGCGCGGACTACAACACTGTGCCTTTCAAACCCACACCCCTAAATGTTGTTGCCGCTACATTTGTCGTCCTCAAAAGAAATGCACTGAACTCCATCTTCCCAGATGTACAATTCGCAAAGGAGGAAGAAAGAGCTAGACATGTTGTGAAAAGCACACTTCACTGGATCAGGGAAAGGACTCAACATTTCACATCCTGTGCTAAACTTTAGTTGCTTGTGTCAACTTCTGTTCATTAGGGGTTGTGCATTTCTAGCCTAAATAGTTAGTTAGTGGCCTGGGGTGTTACATAAATGCAGAAAAATGGACTAATACAGAGATGGATGCTTGGGAGAGAGAATGTGGCTATCTGGTATTCCATTTACATTGTGTCATAATTTATCAGAATTTTTTTTTCCAGCCAAAGGATGTATTGTTGGTACATGACACCAGAGAAACGATCCAAACGCATGTTTCAAACCAGGGTTAAAAAAATGTGAAAAGCATGAGATGTTTTATGATGCATGGTGGACTGGTGAGCAAGCTTTTGATACAAACTCATACAACGATGCAAAATATCTCGAAGATGAATGAAGAAAGCAAAAGCCTATAGAAACCAACATTCCACGCATTCTTAGTTTCAACAGCAACCATCCACTGTCACACACACACACAAAAGCTGTGTCAGAACACTGTATGGCTGGGTGACAACCCACAGCAAGCTAAACAACTGGAGAGAAGGTACCTACGTGAACAATTCGAGCATAATGAGTACCCACAATAATTTATTACAAGATGCCTGTGCAGAACACAAGGGAAAGGAAAGGATAGGAAGGTACAAGACCGATTGTAGGGCATAGCTGCTGTAGAATGCAGCTTCCGAGATCTGCAAGTGGACATCGCACACCGCCCAGAGTCTACCATATGAGGACAAAATTATGCATGGCGAAGATCGCTTGGAAATGAGAGATACTTCCAATTAATCTACCGGATCTCCTGCATGGATTGCCCCTAGGACTACGTAGAACAGCAAGCTAACCACCAAAGCACAAGAACACAAGCGAGAGGTCAGAGCCGAGGAGACCTGAACTCATCGGTAGCCTTGCATTGCAATGAACAAGGACACACATCCAATTTCGCAGCTACTAAGATTGTCGGCTGAGCAGGGACAAAGATAGACGGGGAAATGATCGAAGCCTGGGAAATGGGCCCCTTGTCAGTAACAGGAGTGCTGATTTACCATCAGTTGATTAAATACTTAAGAGCCAAGGGCTTGGAAGCAGCAGGAAACAACCGTCAATTGCCAGCGATCAACACCATTAGCCAATAGTTCCCCAAAAATGGACTCCAGAATGAGTCTGAAAACTTGGAAGAGTACAGATTTAAGACTGGTACAGATTTAAAACTTGGAAGAGACCCAGATTTAATTTTGGGAAAAAAAACAACATAAGGAATAGAAGGGAATTCTGGAATAGTTCAGAAAGGAAGATATTGGGTCCGTTAGGATGTTTTGAAGAGTAGATAGGAAGTGTTCTCTTATTTCTTTACAGATTTTTTCTAACTTATGTGGAGGGGGGGACCATATTTAATAAAAAAAGTTTTTTAAGAGTTGTCCAGAGAAGTTGGCTTAAGATAACTGGAATATTATTATTATTTTTCTCTCCCTCTATTTTGGTATAGAATCACAAGGGTGTTGTCTGTTGGGGTTTGTCCCAAATTTTGTGGGTAGGTGGCATCAGAATGGATATTTGTTTTGGAGGGTGAGGGACTGAAACAGATAAAATTGCCTTCACAGTTGATTGCCTGAGGTGCTGATTGGTAGACAAGAAAATTTAAGAGAGGGAGAGGGGGGGAGAGAAAGAGAGAGAGAGAGAGAGAGAGAGAGATTGCAGATACAAGCCATGTTGTAACAGATACATACAGCAATAGAAAAGTCACAACCAAGTATTACAAACACAATGGGAACCAGCCTGGGAGATAATTAATGTGCAAGTAAAGGGCATTATTTGCTCTGCTCTCAAGGGGTGAGAATATTCCTCCTATCTAACTCAATTTTGGAGCTTTTCATGACAGTATTTTCCTAATTTATAACTACTCTCTTGCCTGTTTTGCACGTCTAGAGAAATTTCTGGAGCCCAACAAATTAACACCGAGAGGATTTTTCCAAAGCTGAATATTCATCTTATGGACTAGCCAGAATTCCTATTTCCAATTTTCAATCGTACTTGAGAATGTCTGAACTGCATTCCTAACATCTAGCTAGTGCTTGATAATAACTTGATGCTTGATAAACCCAGATATGTTTAGCAGTGCTGGGTTCTTGGAGACAAAGATATCCTTTATTAATATGTAAAGATGTGAATCTCCATTCCTGGTCCATATTTCACGAGGGCTAAAACAACATTTTTCTGGTTTCTTGTCAGTTTAGGCACAATTCAACCGTGATGGCTTTTAATCCAGAAAGTCTTCTTTCTGTTGAAACCAAAAGTCTATGTACCTAATTTAAACACAATCAAATTGCCAGAAACAAAAAGTTGTGTGAAAATGTTGGTGTAAAAGCCCCTTCCCGTATGTGTGTAAATGAAGGGGATTTTTTTCTCTTTTTTTTTACAAAAAAATATTTTAATGCATTCAATGTAGGTTACCTTTTTTTTTTAATAAAAAAAAAGGTACAGAACTGGCTCCTAAGTCAATAAGATTGTTCCTTACAAGAAAATAAAGAGATGGATTATGAACTGGCTGCATGCAAAGAAACTCAACTCGCTCTTATTTTAGAAAAGGAAAAACAAAAAAGAGAAGGTTAATATTGAAATCTAGGTTATATTTTATAAGCATGCTTCCTCACGTTGCACAGACAAAAATTAACCGAACGTTGGATCCTTCCGTTTAAAACAAAAAAACCAAAACCACACACACAAACCAAACGCACGCACCACAAAACGGCACAACATGCAACACAGACAAAGCTCACGGGGTGTGTGTCTCAAGCGCTGGCTCGCAGCTGTGGCGCCTTCACAAGTTCAAATGTGCATGTACAGCCCCCCCCCCCCCCCCCCCCCCTCAAACACACACAGACACACACTCCAAAATGCAGAAATGTACACACGCTGTGCCCTAACTTCTCTTTTGGGGGTGGAAGGGGCGCTACTTCATTGCTTTAAAAAACGGGAGGAATGGGAGATTTTAAGTTAAATGCTAAGACAGGGAAACAGACAATAAAAAAAACTTATTTGCAAAAGCGGGGAGGGGTGGACTCCCAATAGGTTGCAAACACACAAGCTATCACAACCCTGTCCTTTAGCCTCTGAAAACCATGTTGGTTTGAAGAGTGGAGGAGGAGGAGGAGGAGGAGGAGGAGGAGGAGGAGGAGGAGGAGGAAGAAGAGGAAGAAGAGGAAGAAGAGGAAGAAGAAGAGGAGGAAGAGAAAGAGGAAGAGGAAGAGGAAGAGGAAGAGGAAGAGGAAGAGGAAGAAGAAGAAAAAGAAGAAGAAGAAGAAGAAGAAGAAGAAGAAGAAGAAGAAGAAGAAGAAGAAGAAGAAGAAGAAGAAGAAGAAGAGAAAACAGACCATCATTGATGTTAGAAAACATTCAAGTTAGCAACCTGGATTCTTTCTCTCTCCCCCCCCCCCCCCCCCTTATTCTAACAACATACAGTACAGTTAAAACACGTAAGATTATGCTATACATTATATACACATAAATACATATTGGATCTTAGCAACGTGTGTGTGTGTGTGTGCGTGTGTGTAGACACCCACACATACTTGTAGTGCAATTTCTGAAAGAAAACGAAAAACGAAAGACACAAAGGAACGTCTCTATGATGAAATTAGCAGAGCAGAACACGTCAAGAAGAAATCCCGTACAGTAGACACCTCAGGAGCTGTTGGAGAATACAGTACGCAACCATCAAGTTCAACATCTCCATAAAGTGCTCCTTTGATTCACAAAGCTTGTGTGTGTGTGTGTATTGCATATGTGTTTTCTTTCCTCTCTTTTCCCACCTCTCAGGGAAGAGAAGCTATTGAGGTTTCTCTAGAAGAGATGCCTTCTTACAACACGGGTACCTAAATTGGGCGAGAGGGTCATCTCCATACATTTATTTAATGTCCCCTTGCCTGGGTTTAGAAGGCATCTTCTAGACGTTGTTTTTTTTTTGGCTTCTTGAGACGGAACATGATAGCTTTAAGATTGTATTGCGTGGCTCCAACTGCTTGGAAGAGGCCTATGGTCTTCTATGGATTTGTCCACCTCCCCATTGATGAAGAAGGCATGTGGCTCCATCACATCCACCACGGGAGAGCATCAGGTCTAATTTCCAGCATCCCAATGGATGAAGTAGGCTGAAGCAAAGCTGAGCTCCAGATCTTCTGCCTATGCAAAGAGAGCTAAGAAGCCTGGGAGATGTTGAAGGACACCGAAGACATGGAGATTGGGGAATGATGGACAGGGCCCAAGCGTGCAACCCAACAAAAAATCTGTAGAAGAACAGGTCTGTTCGCCACCAGGGACGTTCTTCCCTGGCTGAGCTTCATCTTTCCAATCTCAAGAAGCCCTCCAGGTGTCCACTGCCCGCAGTAGACAAAAAGTATATCTCCAAATGAAGAGGGCCATGCTGGCACTGCCATAACCCCATCTGTTCCTTCTTCAGAAACAACACACAAAAACCATTGGGCACGAAGCAGGTTTGGTCCTTGGTTTCCTCAGCCCTCTTCCACCAGGTTGGAAAAGGGTCCTTCTTGTATCTGCCTGTCCCCAGTTTGCACCAGGGTTAGCAGGAAAAGCATGCTACTTCTGAAAGAGAGAAAGGAAGAGAATGGATATCTGGGAAAGATCTGAGAGAAGCAACCTAGAACTAAGGAGAAATTTCCTGACAGTGAGAACAATTAAACCAGTGGAACAACTTGCCTCCAGAAGTTGTAAATGCTCCAACACTGGAAGTTTTTAAGAAGAGATTGGATAACCATTTGTCAGGAATGGGATAGGGTTTCCTGCCTAAGCAGGGGGTTGGACTAGAAGACCTCCAAGATCCCTTCTAACTCTGTTATTCAATTCTATTCTATTCCCTGCCAACCAGGAAAACCAACAATGGCTTCCAAGAAGATGTCCCCATCCGAGACTTCTTCAAAAGGGTGCAGGGTTTAACTCCCAAAGATTTTAGGAACCAAAAACCAATTACCTGCGTGGAAAAAACAATCAAGCTTATTGTCATGCACAGATTCCTGATAGCAAGCTGGACAACCGTCGTTCAATGCACATTTTACCTAAGAAGACAGAAGGATAGGAGGAATATGATTAGTTGACCATCCTTAAAATGTTCAGAACTCGTGAGGACTAGAAAAATACCCCAAATCTCCTCCCCCCAAACCCCATAGCTTTAAACCCAGTCACTAAGCGAGTGTTTATAAGCTGAAGACTACTTTTGTGTAGTAGTTCTCACTCCTAGCAGTTATGCTCAAGCTTTAATGCAGGAAGTTGGGTTATGTAAGTCCCAACAGCAAAGCACATCAATGAATGTAATCCTATGTCACTCCACAGAAGGCCTTTTTTTTGGTGATATTTTTTTAAAAATCTCTCGTTTGGGTGTCAAAATGCTTTCTTCTCCAAATAAGTAAAAAGAACAGTAGACCTCAAATGGCAACTGGATTTTCTAATTTTTCTTTGAAAGAATGTTTCACTTCTTATCCAAGAAGCTTCTTCAGAGCTAAAAAAAGCTTCTTGGATGAGAAGAATAACATCTTCAGAGAAAAACCCAGAAAGTCCAGTTGCCTCTTGAAAAAGCACCTTTGGGACAACCATGACCTGGATGATGGAGAATCTCCGTTAGACAGTTGACTTCAAAGCAACATGATTATGAAGAAAACAAGAGTAATTAGATAAGAAAGTTGGAGAAAGCAACAAGATTCAAAACAAAACAAAACAAAACAACTTCCATGAAGAAGTCTCACAAATCTCTTTCCTGGCCCTCCTTACATTTATTGATGTTCTCAACATCTCCTTGCTCGGTGATGAAGTTCAAGAGACCTTCCATCAAGAGCAACGCTTTCTGGTATCTTTGGACACAGTCTTCTCGGTGATGGAACATCTCATCCAAAGCTGCAGCCTGAACCTGGGAAGGAAAAACAACTTGAGGTTCTGGAAGCCGTGGTGGCACAGTGGTTAGAATGCAGGACTGCAGGCTAATTCTGCTGACTGCTGGCTGCCAGCCATTGGACAGTTCGAGTCTCACCGGCTCAAGGTTGACTCAGCCTTCCATCCTTCCGAAGTGGGTAAAATGAGGACCCAGATTGTTGGGGACCATAGGCTGACTCTGTAAAACTGCTTAGAGAGGGCTGGAAAGCACTGTGAAGCAGTATATAAGTCTAAGGGCTATTGCTATGGCTATTATTGTCCTTCCTTCCTTCCTTCCTTCCTTCCTTCCTTCCTTCCTTCCTTCC